AACTATTCCTCTAGAGAGCTTGGCTTAATCAGAACAGAACCACCAATTTTAAACTTTTTCCTTGGCACAAAAATCTGCCCAAGAAATATAATAAAAATGGTTATTTACACAATTTTGTAAAAATAATTTTCAGCACATTAAAAACATTTATATATTTATAAAAGTAGTTGAAATCTTTCGGAACCAATCATTGTGAATTTGCAGTGAAAATAAATTTACAAGAACAAGTCAAGCATGACGATTATCTCAGCAAGGCCTTTTCAAACCCAGTTGTTGGGTTCAGCTGTCTATGTTCTATATACCGGTATTCACTTTTCTGCGTGTTAACTTGTCCGTTGGTTCACTAGTCCTGTGTTTGGATGTGTTATGGTGAGTTGTGGGTTTACTTGTCATGCGTTCATTTGTGCGGCCCCCGCAGTGGACACAAACCATAAAGTTTATGCAGCCTTAACGATCAGAAATCTGCTTAAAGTAAACCTATACACGGGTAAGCCGCTGCGACTGCGTTGCTGCCCACAGCCTTACTAAACAGAAACATGGCAAGGCCGTGGAGGCCACGTCGCTCTAGCTATGCCGACGTATTACTTTAGTGTATCAGAGAATGACTTTGATAATCAGCAGGCCAGACCAGGGAAACAGCGCATGGGCAAAAAAAGGTGCGATGCGAGAGACTCGGCTACGTAATAGAATTCCACCAACAACAGAGACTGAGAGAGCGACCAATGTCCAAGCGTTGGGTGATGTGTAACGTGTCCTCATAATGAGCAGATCTGGGAAACGTTTCGAGCGGACCAGTTGTTATGTTGCGATATGTTAACTAGAAAGTTGTGCCACCCACTACCACTGAGTTTTAAAAAAAAAACAAAAAAAAAAAACTCTTCAGCTCGCCGAAAATGCCGCCCTCAATATATATTTTTTTTAAAGTGGCACATGTGTCGACCACCCCCTCCACAGCCCCCTTCCTATGCAAGTGGATTGACTTTTTCTCGACAATCGTGAGTCATAGTAGGCAAATAAGCTATTTAAATGGTCTATGGTTGGTCAGCTCTAGTTTGATAGATGGCACTTAATTATTTAGTAGATACCACCTAAGTTGACTCTGGTTTGTGGTGAGTAAAATGAGAGGCAGTGTTAGTGATTTTATGTATCTTGATGGAACTAAGTTGCTTTGTTAGTCATCTGTTTGCAATGGTGTTTATTTCGCTACTGACATATATTTCATTACTTTCCCGCTTTTTGCCTCTTAGTCTTAGTAAATCACCAGCTATTTATTGAGAAAGAAATCGAAACTGTCACAAATTTTAAGAAAGGAAATTGACAATTTTATTTAAAGTTTTAACAAATATTTCCCACATAACCCCCACCCTCAAAATTCTAGCCGCGTTACGTACGTAATGGATGCACAACCGTGCAAAGGAAAGGCAGCGCCCTGGGCGAATGCGCCCCCTGATATTGAGGTCCCTTGCGAGTACCACCTTTACATTGCTGTGCATGGATCCAGTGGGCTAGAAAGAAATATCAGACAAAGTAGATAGATCTATAAAATTTTTAAAAGATTATTTAAATCTAAATATATCCAATTGGGCAACTTTTATAACGTATCTTTGAAGACAGAAGAGTTCTCCTTGTTTTCCCACAATGGCGTCGTAAATGACAAAAGATTCATGAACTGTAGGCTACTTTTTTTTTTTTTATGTTGTTCAATTTTGTTAAATGGTTATTGTACATGAACAAAAAGACGGTAATGATTGTCATATTGTTGCTTTGGGCGTCACAATGAACTACCTAGATGCGTCAACAGTAATATTTAGTCTAGTTGCCCTCGCAATAACTTCACTCGACCATCCCCTTTTTCTGCTACCAGGCGTGTGAGATGTAGTTTTGTTACATAATTATTTTGTTCGCTAGAATCGCAGCAATTGTGAAAACGGAGAAAACTAGAGAAGGTTTTTAAAATAAAATACATTATCCAACTGTTCTGCACCGGGAAGTTGGATTTGGACATATTTGTTAATGGTAAAAGTGCAGTTCAGGTGCGTATATTATTTCTTAGCATTTCGTATTTTTAAAAATTTGTATCATGTAAACTTACGTGTATTCTTTAATAATTTAATACAGGCAGTTATAGTTAACTAATTCTGGATTAAAAATCGCATCTTTTCTTTTTATTTTACTTCTAAAGAGTCTTTAAAACATCCCCCAACCAAAGTGACACAGCCCCATTTGTTAGTATTTTTCTTTTTACGCTATGCAAGATTTTCAGCCACCCATAAGTTAGTATGCTAAACGAAATTTTCAAACTAAGCATGTTCACAAAAAAGAATGAAATACTAGATTCTTCATTACGCACAAGCGCCCCCCCCCCCCCAAACTTTAATTTTTTTTTTCCTCTCAGAGAGCTCGTAATATAAGGGTTGTCCTTTGAAGTCGGGGGGGGCCGGAGGGGGGGATTAGAAGTGGATCACTGACTAAGGCAGTGGACACACACGTCATCATTGTCCTGGACCTGGTGTGAAGCTGATCATCCTGAAGGCTGCTAATACGCTGTCCGTGATTGGTCAGCTCTAATTTGAGCACCCCCTCCTCTTTTTTCATATGCAAATGCGCTTATTAATGGTGACTGATTTGCGCTGAGTAAAGTGAGGGCTTGTGATTATTTTTTTATATTATAAGACGGACTCGTTTTGGCTTTGCGGTATTGCTGGTTGTAGGATCATTTTGTTTCAAATGGCAGGACGACCAAGAAACAATAACTAAAATTGTTGATGCAACAGGCATTTTTAATGGTGCAGCATTGGGTTTAAACGCGCACCTTGTGCGGCAACAAATAACGTTAATACAACTGGAATTTCTCCTAAGGCACTCGTAACAATTGCAATGTGGCTTGTAAGCTGGGTTCATATGTCAAGTATGTGAGCTCCCCATAATTACCGGGATCTGCATATCACCCGAAACGGGATCTCACACGAAACGGAATCTCACCCGAAACGGGATCTCGCCGTAACCAGGATCGGTAACCCACTGAATAATCTGGATTAACTCACGGTAATCCCACCGGGATCAGGATCTCACTAGGATCAAAATCCTATCGGGATCGGAATCTCACCGAAACGTGATCCCACCGGATTGGGATCTCATTTAGTTTGGGATACCACCGGAAACGGATCTCACCAGGATCGGTATCTTACCGGGATCGGGATCCCACCATGACCAGGATTCTATCGGAATCACATCGGGTTCGGGATCCCATCATGATCCTTCCGGGTGCCATCGGAAAACGGGAAAAACGAAAGGTTTACATAAGTTATTTTAATTGTTTTTAATAGGAGACAAATTAATTATTATTATTTTTACTATAGTGTTGTTGTTTTGTTGTTGACATTTCGTTTAATAGCAATGTGAACTAAAAGGACGGAACAGATGTTTCTTTCTGAATGCAGCCCCAGGCAACTCCGGTTATAGTTGATAGTAAAGTTATAAAATAAATACATCATTTATTTCAACAAGATTCATCCAATTGGGCAACTTTTATAAAGTATCTTTAAAGACAGAAGAGTTATCCTTGATTTACCACAATGGCTCCGTAAAACACGAAAGATTCATAAAAATGTAGGCCTACTTTTTTTATCTCGTAAAATTTGTTAAATTGTTGTTGTATTCCAATAAAAAGACGGTATATAACTTTTAAAATACTTTTTATAAAGAATTAACATAAGTTTACACGGGAAAATAAGAGATTCAAACAGAAATAATATACGCACCTGAACTGCACTTTTACCTTTGTTAATATCTAGTTAGTCACATTTGAAATATTGAAATATATTTTTAGAACCCACAAAACAGCTTTATCCCTTGAA